TCTATACAATGCCGAGAACTAGGTTGATATATACATAGGGTCCCGAGAATTTGTAACAACAGTTATGTTTAGACCTAAACTGTTGCGTTCAGAGTAATTTAAGTTGTTGAAGGAATTATGTTAAATCTCAGTAAAATACCACTCCAACATTTGGATGGCAGTTTTAACCTTTAACGGGAAATAATTTAAACCCTAAAACGTCTAATATCACAATTATATTAATATTTATTTAAAAGGGAAAAAGATAGCAACTGGTAACATAATATGTTGACGGCATGATATATTTGTGTTTGAAGTGCTAGATACATAACTATTTAGTTCAAAAGATACAAAAGAAACCTAGGCGTGCCTGTTAAACTGGCACTCTTGTGGTATATCTAGTTACACAGCGCTTCAAGTCTATTGGTTAGTCTTTAAGAAAATATATTGTGTGAAGTACACTTTATTTTTTAATTTTGATGCAATGTATATGACCAAATCGTGTCTTTAAAGTTGTTATAAGTGGGTACAGGGACATGTCACATGCTATATATAACTGGTGACATTTTTAAGTGTGACGCCAACTTATATATACATTTCAATATGCATTGTATATTTAAGCATTGAACTGTTTTTGTATGGTATTTAGGATCTATTTGAATGACACAGCTTTGCAAGCAAACAACATAATGCGCGCTAGCAAACAAAGTAGTACTTTGAAATTTTAACAAACACTTCAATTTTATTCCACAATTCAGTATCAATACAATTGCGTATGATATGTCTATAGGGTAATTAAGTTTATCAATAGAACACTGAGCAGAAAGTTAGATTTGAAATTGTTTCGATTTTTCCCCGGGAAAATTCCGCGCATGGACAAATACAGTGAACACCGTAAATCCGACAACATTCGGTAGATTCTATAACAGCATCATTATTTGACATGTCGTCAGAAACTGAGGAACTATGGATCCGAGACGCGTGAAACTGATAGCGTTTGAAGTGAGTGATCTTGCGACGGAGCACAGGTTCGTTACAAATGTCTGAAATGTTCATGTGTGCTGTGATTTATATCAGTAGGTGTATAACATATGTTTCAGTAGGTCTATAGAATATGTGTATTTCAGGCATTTGTAACGAACCCATGTTGATCAGTGCAGTGTAACAGACGATATTTCTGATAAATTGCATGAGCGTTACAATTGTTTCCATTGCCGGCATTGGTGATTTCAACCGATGTGCATTTTGTACAATATTGCAGACCTTGGTCTTGTTTTCGTTGTAAAATAGCGTTTTTTATTTTATTTTTTATTTTGCACATAAATTTACAATGACATTGTCAAATCTCACAATGCCCAGCGATATTTCAGCAGCCGTCATGTTTATTTGTATTGGATATTGTAGTTCCGGTCAGTGTTGTATCAATACGCTAAGAATTGTGTCTCGTGATGCATGGTAATTAAAGTCCCATCAACGACACAGCTTTCAAAGAGGCTATATAGTGACAATGCCATGCAAATGTAAATATAGCATGTTACACGTCCATGTATTACATGTACGTGTATACACTGTAGCTGGTTCAAGGATTGGACAGTATCATTTAGTCAATCGTGGTATAAAAAGAGAAGCTGTGCATTCAAATGATCCATGTCAATTAAATCCCTGTTAAAATAAAAGACAGGAATACAAGATATCTTAAATGATGGAAAGGAGAAAGGAAGAAAGAATTGGTGTATTGTCAGTGCTATGTCACTGCATGAATTGCATAACACAGTCGCTGAAACACAATACTAAACGATATAAATGCCAAAATGGAGTGGTTTTGCTGATGATACCTTTGACATCTTAATTGGTTAAAGAAATCGCTGGTAAATAATCTATTAAAACCCAAAACAATACTCATCAGTACGAGAAAGATAAACTCTCCACCCCTTTGACAATGAATAACTTTCTAATAAACGATGTAAGTCGGCATCAGCACCTGGTCGTGTCTCTCTATTGTAATGACACATGACAAAGCCATTTAATTGATATTGAAAGCGCACAAGTTCAACTAAATATTCTCAGAAAATGAAATTATAATGTCGACCGTTCAACTATCCAACAAGTATTATTTTTGCCTTTTATTAGACCAAAATTAGGAATGGGGATATTTTTCAGGATAAATTTAACTTTAATTAAATTTAATCAGAAAACGAACAACTTGAAGCTGGAGGCACTAAACTCATTAGGGGCCTCAACCTTTACAAACAAAAATAATAAATAAAAGGATGACAGCCACTTCATCGCGGACGCCAGGTAAATACAAATTATAAAATGGTTCACATTTTTCAGTCAATTCTTAAGTAACATTCAAATACACATCCTCATTAAATAAGAGACTTTAACACTTTATAACATGTATATTTAAAGTAAAACATATATATACATTGTATATATATATATATATAAATGCTTTCCTGTCTGTTACTCTTTATCTACTGAATACTCTCACTTAAGCTGTCAATAGAATTTCATCCTAATCATTAGTTTATATTTACTGTGATACTGGAACAGTAGTCCAAATTAACCACGAAATGCTTATAACGAAATGCAGTTCAGCAGCTGGTAAATGACATCTAGTGGAAAGCGCACTTTCTTGTCCTGAGGCAATGAAACAAAAAAAACATGCTACTAGTCTGTCTTAATAATAATTGTTATGTTAAAATAAGTTTAGTAGATATCTTCATAATCAGCTTTCCGTAGAAGTTCTACTGTTGGCTGACAACAGACGACATGTAAATAGAATACAATTGAATAAGTACAAAGTTTGCTGATAAATCGAAACGGTTGTCATGAGTCTAAACAACTGTAACAGTAGTATATATGTTGGTCTATATCTAATCCATTTGTAGCAAATATGTTGATGCTGTCATTTGAATCCATTGAGTTTAAATTGAACTTCCGTGCTGTCCATGTAATATTTTAATAAGGAAATAAATGTATTGAAATGTCTTGTTTCTAGATCCTTTTTCAGTATTTACATTCAACAAAGACCACTACATTTGCCAAAACGAAATAGCATAAGGACTATACAAATATAGGTGCAGATTACAGGGAAATATCGGGTTATAATTTTTTTTTTTTTTTTTTTTTTTTTTTTTTTTTTTTTTTTTTTTTTTTTTTTTTTTTTTTTTTTTTTTTTTTTTTTTTTTTTTTTTTTTTTTTTTTTTTTTTTTTTTTTTTTTTTTTTTTTTTTTTTTTTTTTTTTTTTTTTTTTTTTTTTTTTTTTTTTTTTTTTTTTTTTTTTTTTTTTTTTTTTTTTTTTTTTTTTTTTTTTTTTTTTTTTTTTTTTTTTTTTTTTTTTTTTTTTTTTTTTTTTTTTTTTTTTTTTTTTTTTTTTTTTTTTTTTAATTGCATGGTCATATCTTTCATCATCATCATCATCCTCATCGTGACTGAATATCATCATCAGCCTTGTCAATCATCATCAATAGTAATACACCATTATCATCTTAATACATCATCATCATCAACAACATCATCACCAATCTATCATCATCTTAGCATCATCATCATCAACATTCTATTAATCCATCATCATCATCATCATCATCATCATCATTATTCTATCATCATCATCATCATCATCATCATCATCATCATCATCATCATCATCATCATCATCATCATCATCATCATCATCATCATCATCATCACCAA